TTTAAACTTAACTACGCCGGCCTAATAAACCTAGCTAATAATATATTATAAGACTCGGACTATAAATTCCGTCTCTAGCCTCTTATTTTAGAAAAAACGCTTTAGATTAATAAATATAAGTTCCGTCTTTACCTAAATAGCCCGGTAGGTCTTCTTATAAGTTTTGTTATTTAGTATATTAAATAAGCCGGCCGCTCGATAGTACGGCCTATTAGTATTATTACTAATATAAAATACCGTTTCGATAGCCTCGCGCGCCCGTAGGGCTATATTAGTATTCTTTTTATTAAGAACTATTACTAACTAGTTCTAATTATCCCTTCTTATATCTTATATTACGTCGAGCGGTAGGGCGTCGAGCGTATTAAGTACTACCTCGAGCATAATAAACTAATAATCATTAATATAGAGGCTAATTATCTACTTAAATATTAAGATATTAAACGTTTCTAGCCCTAGTTACGTTTAGTACTAGCGTATAATAATAACCTACTACTTCTTATAGTTCTATAATATTACGAGCTTATATATTAAAAAACTCTTCTTATTACCGAGGCGTAACGCTTTTATTAGTTTATAATTAACCGTACCCTAATTTATTAATACGGTCCTGTTTAGTTCGGAGGCGACCGATACGAGTTATATTTATATTTAGCTATAGTTATTAAGTAAGTTTAGGTCCCTACGGTTAACCCGTAACTTAATATTAAGTTCGGCTAATAACCGGTTTACTAAATAATAAGTTAACTTAGTACTACTTTATATACATAGCCTAATTACTAACCTAGGGGTAAGTAGCGACGTACCTTTATTATATAACTCGTATACTTACTAAGAATCCGTTTTTAAAGTACTTATTACCTTAATATACTCTTAGAGAGCGCAGAGCTAATACTAACCCGCTATTACTTCTATTCTAATTTTATTAATAACGGACTAATTAAAAAAGGACGTATTATCTAAGTACTCGTTATTACTATAACTATTACCGTTAGCTAACGGGTTACTACTAATATCCTTATCTTTATCTTTTTTCTAAGCCTTAAGGACTTAGTAAACCTCCTTAGTATTATAAAAAATAAATATATAGTTCTCGGGAGTATAACGCTTAAGGCCGCCCCTTATAAAGGTCTCTTTAAGTTATTATATATATATTAGCTCTACGCGGCAGTTCTTACCCCGGCTCTAAGTAATTTTTAAAACGTTACTATATAACTTTATAATTATTAATAAATAAGGCTTTACGTATTCTTAGACCGATTCGCTCTTTTAAAAATGCTCCTTTTTTACATAGTATTTAAGACTAGGATACTTTACTAAGCTATCTTACCCGCCATATTTCCGTTTTATTATATTATCTATATTACTTACTATTAGTAATATAATCGACTATTCGATACTATCCCCTATAAATAATTTATTAAGGAGAGGAAGTTATATATAGGTAGTATGTTAAGTAGATAGGGCCGCTAAACTTACGTTTTTCGGTTTATATTCTTAGGTTATTTTATTACTACTTATATTAACTACCTCGTTATACGCGTATATATTTATTATTTCTTACTTATATTTCTAATACCTCCCTTAAATAATAAATAATAAATAAATAAAAGTAGCTACGTTATAGGAGGAATTTTAGTATAATATCTTATTATAATAGTCTTAGCTTTATTAATATATAAGTTAAACTCTAGTATATTACTATTATTACTTAAGTTCGAAGGTATAAGTATATTATATACTATTTTTAGCTAGCTTATTATAACGGTAACCTGCCTCTACCTTCTTCGTCTTCGTTTCCTTATTAATAGCTACGCCGCCTTGGCCTATAAGTATACGCTATAATAAAACGAGGCTACTAAAGGGCAGGGTCTAGGAGTCTCTTTATAGCTCTCTAAATAAGGAATTATTTTTTTTACTATTAAGACCCGCTATTCTACTCCTTAACGTTATACTTAATTATAAGCCCCGCGGGGCTTTATAAATAGAACTAGTATTATATTATTCTAACAGTTCCTATAAGACGGACTTCTTAAACCTCTTTTTGTAAATTAATAAGGATTCCTATATTTAATACTATACTTTATAAATATAAATATATATATTTATATATACTTTCTTCTATTACTAGTTTATATTATCTTCCTATATCTATATAACGTAAGCGCTATAACTATTTTTATTAGGTACTTTAAGGGCCTTATATATATCGTTTCTATCCCGTCTAGCTAAAACTTATTAACTATATAGAACATAGTCGTATAGTATAGCTTATTTCGTTTTTTATAGCGGCTCTACTATATAGTTATAATATTTATAGCCGTGCTTAATATACGGGACGATATTTAGCACATCTTTTTCCTAAGGTTTACATATTAAGTATTAATTAAGCTAAACTTATTATAAAATAAGCGCTTTATATAGCGTAATAGGATATAATACGGGTTAAATCTCTATTAAAATATGGTCTTAGAGCATAGCTACTATATATAAATAAGTTTTAGGGTATATTTTATTACGAAATTAACCGGGATACTATTAAAAATATAGGTAGCATTTTACTATTTTCAAATAGTTAGTATAATAAATAACGCTCTTAAATTATTCTTAACTCTTAGCGTCCGGGTATAATTCTAATTATTATATATTTCTTTTAAAGACTAGCTAAAAAAAATATATATAGTATTTCTTTATATCTTTTTTAAATATTATAGAAATATATCTATCCTATTATTAAAATTATATATATTATAAAGGATATTTAAGGATCGTAATAAAGCTTATATAAATAATAAACTTTATATAATAAGTTAGAGATACTAGGCGCCCCTTAACGCGCTCGCCAGTAGCTAGCTAAATACCCGGATATATTATTTTATCCTTTCTAATTATCTAACTTTTATTATTCTTATCTAAAATTAATCCCTAATAGCTAGGCTAACTAATTACTTAGCTAGTTATATCGGACCCTAAGAACATATTATCCCTATATAACCCTTTATTCGGGATTTCTAATTCTTTACCTAATTTATAACTTATATACTACCTTACTCTATATACTCTATATTATAAGTAGGATATTTTAAACGAGACGGGCTAGATATACGTCTCTTAGCTACTTATAGTACTTATCCTTATTACTAAAATAAACTATTTAGCTTTACTTTAGCCGTTTTCGTATTTTTATACTATTTTTTTAAATAATAAAGTTAATACTAATCTGCTCGCATATACGTACGCTAAGTATAGATTCTACTTTCTTAGCTCGTATATCTTAAAGAACCCGGAGAATTATATTAGTATTTTATATAAATAAGGGATTATATTCGCTATATTATTTATCTAATCGATTAGTATAATATGCCCTCGAACTAAACTATACCTACGTATTTACGAGATCTACTCTATAATAAGTTTTAGTACGGACTACCTTATACGAGCGAAACCGGGATTATAAAGCCGTGCGTAGCTTACTTAATAATTATTTTATAATAAGCTCTAATTAAGAAGCCCCGTAGGGCTTCTTTAATAACCACTCTATAGTTCTAATAACTACTCTATAATAAGCTCTAATTAAAAAGCCCCGTAGGGCTTTTTTAATAACTACTTAGTAATTCTAATAATTAGTCTGTAGTTTTAATAACTAGTTTATAATAACCTCTAATTAAAAAGCCCCGTAGGGCTTTTTTAATAACTACTCTATAGTTTTAATAACTAGTCTATAATAAGCTCTAATTAAGAAGCCCCGTAGGGCTTTTCTAACAACTACTCTATAGTTTTAATAACTACTCTATAGTTCTAATAACTAATTTATAATAACCTCTAATTAAGAAGCCCCGTGGGGCTTTTTTAATAACTACTCTATAGTTTTAATAACCACTCTATAGTTCTAATAACTAGTCTATAATAACCTCTAATTAAGAAGCCCCGTAGGGCTTTTTTAATAACTACTCTATAGTTCTAATAACTAGTCTATAATAACCTCTAATTAAGAAGCCCCGTGGGGCTTTTTTAATAACTACTCTATAGTTCTAATAACTAGTCTGTAATAACCTCTAATTAAAAAGCCCCGTAGGGCTTTTTTAATAACTACTTTATGGTTTTAATAACTACTCTATAGTTCTAATAACTAGTCTATAATAACCTCTAATTAAGAAGCCCCGTAGGGCTTTTTTAATAACTACTCTATAGTTTTAATAACTACTCGGTAGTTTTAATAATTAGTCCGTAATAAGCTCTAATTAAGAAGCCCCGTAGGGCTTTTCTAATAGCTACTCTGTAATTCTAATAATTAGTTTATAATAAGCTCTAATTAAGAAGCCCCGTGGGGCTTTTTTAATAACCACTCTATAGTTTTAATAATTAGTCTATAATTTTAATAATTACTTAGTAGTTCTAACAATTAGTCTACTATAAGCTCTAATTAAGAAGCCCCGTAGGGCTTTTTTAATAACTACTCTATAGTTTTAATAACCACTCTATAGTTCTAATAACCAGTTTATAGTTTTAATAATTAGTTTATAATTCTAAATAATTACTTTACGATTCTAATAATTAGTCTATAATAAGCTCTAATTAAGAAGCCCCGTGGGGCTTTTTTAATAACTACTCTATAGTTCTAATAACTAGTCTATAATAACCTCTAATTAAAAAGCCCTATGGGGCTTTTTTAATAACTACTTTATAGTTCTAATAACTAATTTATAATAACCTCTAATTAAGAAGCCCCGTAGGGCTTTTTTAATAACTACTCTATAATTTTAATAACTACTCAGTAATTTTAATAATTAGTCCGTAATAAGCTCTAATTAAGAAGCCCCGTAGGGCTTTTTTAATAACTACTCTATAGTTCTAATAACTAGTCTATAATAACCTCTAATTAAGAAGCCCCGTGGGGCTTTTTTAATAACTACTCTATAATTTTAATAACTACTCGGTAGTTTTAATAATTAGTCCGTAATAAGCTCTAATTAAGAAGCCCCGTAGGGCTTTTTTAATAGCTACTCTATAGTTCTAATAATTAGTTTATAATAAGCTCTAATTAAGAAGCCCTGTGGGGCTTTTATAATAGTCGCGCGCGCGGCGGTCTCTCCTAGCCCTAACCTAAGGGTTAGGGTGCGGCGGGGGGCCGCTACTATGGTTTGCAAACCAGGATCGGTACAGTTCCACTCACCGACAAATCGATCACTCCTGCCAGTGTCTTGTTCCAAAGTACGCAGGGCTTTTACCATGGTGCTAAGTTCATCACAAACAGCGCGCCTCTCATCTTCATTCAAGTCGCACCACCTGTCTTGCAAAGTCGCGCCCTCTATCAAGGACATGTAGATAAACCTCTGCTCCTCATCCTCCGCCCAGCCAAAGATCTCGGGCACGGGCACTTTGCCTTGTAATTTCTCATACACCATCTTCTGTGTTTGAGCCTCGATAATCGTGACATCGCCACCGTATTTGACAAACAATCCTAACGAAGAAAATATAACGGATGGCGGGCGATCGAAGCTTGTGACGTGCGTACCATCCGACTCTTCGTTCTGGGCCCTGACCTCAGCTGGCGTAGGAAGCGCAGGCGCACGCCTTTGTTTGAAAAAGCTCGACTCGGGAAAGATTTTCATATGACTAGGAACGGAAGAGACTCTCTTGAAACTGGTTGTTGAAGGCGAGATATCGGCAGCCGGCATCGTTCTGTAATGGTATCAGTATCCAATGGTAAAATCGGCGAATGCTTTGGACCGATGGTGTTGTTGGTGAGGTGACTTTACCCAGATTTATGGGTTGCTGAACCCCACTTATATACACACTCAGTTGAAATCAATTAGATTTGGTCATGCGGCCCCCAAGATGCGCGATTTCCATTGGCTCGGGCTTGCAAAGTAACCCTTGGTTTAGATTGTTGGTTCATTCGTGCTAGTGAGTGCTCTTTACCGACCGAGTGAGCATTTGCACCTTTTTCTACACTTTGTTCCTTTGTTACACAGACAGCCGACCACCGAGCTATTACCCCGAAACCTGCGGCGGTGCGGTCTCCAGGTCAGCTATGACTTCTGGTATCAATGATCCAGAGCGCGCCTTGGTCTTCAGCATTACTGAACACTCCCTTTAGGAGCCGTTTGGAGAGCGAAATGCACGTATATAAAGACGGAGGACGGATTATGTATCTTCGAATGGGAGTTGAGCACATCACAAGAATAGCATTATAATCTATAAGAAACTTATAATATCGACCACTATGTCTTCTTCTCTTCCTAGTCATTCTAAGACCACCGGTACTCCGGCGCCTCTTCCACCTTCTTTTCCACCTCCACTAATTGATAACAAAGACCCTTGTCCACCTCCGGTTCCAAAGCTAATTGTGGGTTCGGAAGGCCCCCAAGGAGCTTATTTAGTCGAATTACTAGTCTATAACGGTTATCCCTTTAAAGACCATTGGGCATATTTCGTATGCTCGCAATCAAACAGTGGCGTCGGTGTTTTGATCCACGCGGCTGGCGACGTAAGAAGTGGCTTTAGATTTGAGATTAAGCGAAGTTATGATCTTAGGGCAAGCGGACGCATTCCGTCGAATAGAATTGCACTACAATGGGTGAATTCTTTTTACTTTGACGAAACAACAATGTTCAACAATGGAACATATAAAGTTGATACCTTGCCTGTTTGCGATTTTGAGGCCAGCATGCATAAAGCGAAGGCTCCTGAGAAGACTTTGAACTCGGTTGAGGACATGGTGAGAGCTTTCCTTTCTTTCTTCTTGTATCCACGATACTTCATAGTAAGAAGACGTTTTTGTGACTGCTCCATCACAGTCACCTTAAAGTAGTTCCGCTGCAATCAACTCCCCCTCTATTTTTATCATTCCTAGTACCATAGCTAACCGACGGCCAATACTATTAACAACAGGCCGGCGAGACCAGTGCAGGCATGAAAGTTCATCAAAGGAACTGTCAGACATGGATTGTAGAGTCAGCCGGTTTCCTTGTCCAAGACGGCATTTTCAATCCTGAGGTCGCTGTATACCTCAACGCTATTAAGCAGTAGTGGTCTTCTTGCAATCAGGCTTCTCAGTACATTTTGTTATGTAACGCAACACTCATATTATGGTTGCAGTATGCTGTAATTTGCCCTTTGGACATATGCTTATGCCTAATCTTGATTATCTTAGGTTTGGCCATGTAGATCCTACATAGGTAGTTAGTATAAATTTATAGTCAGTTACGTACTCACTTACCTTCGTTGAAACACTTATTGCTATGCCTAACGCACAAAGGTAAGTTGTGCCCCGCCCTTAAAAGGTGTTTGGGCAACCTTGTAGTCTTCGAACCCCATAAATTACTCTCTTCTGCCTGCCCATAGCAGTAACCCAGAAACTGTGAAGTCTAGCTCTTCGTCGACCTTGGTGGACGATGGTCTTCCAACTATCAAGTTGCCTAACGTACTCTCTACCTTATCCTTCTATGGGCCTAACAGCAAATGCCCCAGACCAATCTTTCCCAAAGCTAATCTACCAACAACAGTGAGGTTGTATTTTTTCTTCCTCTGTTCTTTTGTATTAAAGCTAGTCTTCTGTTAGGCAGTGAAGCATTGCTTCCTGGCTAGCCCGAAAGCTTTGCAATAGTGAACAGCCTTGAGACACGATGAATGCCTGGGACAACAGATACGTCAACCTCAAGAGTTTGGCTCCTTGATTTTGACAGATGCCTTTTACCGAATGCTAGTCGTGTCCAGACGCTAACTCCGGATAGAAAGCTCGCAAGTTTGCTGAGTGCGTGTCCCAACGATTCAACCACCTCATTCGGAGAATATCAAGGCACCATGGTCTTATGCTGCATACCTCTTTCCATGAGCTTGGCAAAGTTTGACGCCACCTTTATTTCCAAGTCAGCTTCGTTTCCCGTCACAGTGAATATCCCAGACGACAGCAAGAATGCCATTAAGAGGGTTAATTATGTATATTGGTAGCAGTCCCTAGTCTTGGAGTGCTCTACGCATTCTTGCCTTAGTGACAGCCATTTTGGCCGCAACTTTCTCGTTGATGTACCCATTTACGGTATCTGCCATGTTCTCTTCGAACCAATTGCTCATGTGCTCTCGCATTGCGTCTCCCAGATTGTCCCTTACCCATTCCTCCACATCATCGCAGATATCCGGCATCTGTTTTCCGAGCTTCTCGCACTCATCGTCAAGCTCGCCGGTATGAATGAGCAATGACTCGACAGTCTCCTCACTTTCGGTCTGGCGATTAGCCAACTCGCAACAATTGTCCTCTAGATTGTCATGCCGTGCCTCAAGTTCTCTGTTTCGTCTCTTGAGTTCCTCAACATCTGCCTGTAGCTGTAGGATCTGCTGGCGTTGCTGCTCAAGCAGAATCTCCATGCTACTCTGAGACCGTTCCAGGTCTGTAAGTAAAGATTTCGAGTTTTCCCCTGAGCGTTCGTCATCCGTCGTGGATGTGTAAATATTGGTGAATGCACGCTTACAATACACTCTCTTCGAACTTGGATGTATGTCTGTCTCTTCGCTACCAAAATGTAGCCCTCGTTTCGAAGCATTCGACGCATTGTTGTGCTGCCCTTCGCTATCTCCGTATGGAGGGAGGGCATCCTCACAGCCAAGGCCCCCGTCAACGAAAGCCGTGACAGTCGATTTGGCACTCGGCTGATCACTTGGCTGCCTTCTAGTATTTTCGTATTCGTCATATTGCGGCGGCGGTGACTCCTGGTCGCGCGGAACGATGTCAAACGCAACAGTGGAACCGCACGACTGGGATGTGGCTGGCGTAGTAGCTCTATTGTCTTCTCCGTCGTGCCGTGGGCTACTTTGGACATTCTCGGGGACCTCCTCAGGCGTCACCACAGTGCCACCTTTGCCATGATACAGCCGGCGCAGATCCAACACACGCTCATATGACTGACGCTGGGCGGCTGTCAGATTCGGAAATTGTTGAACGCCCTCGGCGAAAGCTTGAAATGTGGCCATCCGCAAGACGTTGTGCGGGAAATAGAGGGAAAATGTTGAAGCCGTCGCGAGTGACGTGGCCAAGGCAAATGTGTGCCGCGCGGGGTTGTCGGGGGCCTGAACCTCATCGCGAGTTAAGCCAGTGGGCGCGATAAGTTGGCAATGAAAGCCACTGTGCAACCGGAGCTGGAGGCGAGTCACGAGGCGCTTGACACCTAGTCGCTGGCGGACACGTTCGAGGCACGGCGGGCTTTCGTCATTCGTATCAATCGTATCGCAGGTCGTGTGGCGCAGCGAAGCAATGCGGTCGGGGGTGATGTGCAGATAGAGAGTGGTGTTGTTCGAGGTGCTGTGGGCGATGGCTACGCTGAGGCGGAAAAGAACTGATGACGACGGGTGATAGAGGGCGTTCAGTTTGAAGGGTTGGTCAAGGAATTCGGGCTGTCGTCCATTTTCTTCATCTTCACGCACCACAAAAACAGTATGGACAAAGCGTACACCTCCGCCGGACGACATATTAAATTCGCTCTGTATTTAATCTCGCAGATGTGCACAATGTCTGGTAGCAGCCAGGGACAAACTAGGTGGATACTTACCTCGGTAAAGTCATGGCCCTTCCTTTTCCTCTCTTCGCTACAAGTGCAAATACGTCGCGAGGTTTTTCGTAGACAAGACTAGTTCCAACGTGGCCAAAGCCCTGCCCGAGATGCGTTGGGGACTCCTGCACAAGCAGTAGAATGAACAGAGCGACGGGTGACAGGTCCAAGGGTGAAGTTGCAAAGCAAGATTCACAGGTTGGACGGGTTCTGACGGGATTCTGTTCCTACTCGCACAGAGAGTCAGGCAAGCATTCAGGAGTAGTCAAATGGTCGAAGTGACTAGAGCAGGTCTGCTTAATCAAAAAGCGCGCGTGCGAGAGATGAGGTTGAAGATGGAAACGATGGAGCGACCCCACGGGAATTCGCCATGGTGATGGCGACGTTGTGTCAACCACCGCGTGGCTGGGTGGATCGGATGCCAGGCTGCCGGGGTCCGTCGGGGTCGACGAAATATTCTTCCGTATCTTAGTAAGCGTAAATGCTGACCTGCACGTGGGAGCCCAATGGGTGGGGTCTGAGGTGGCATCATACGGACGCCCATGTGACTTACAGCTTCCTTCTGGCGGGTATTAGTCAGCTGCACTCAAGCCTGCCCTCAAGAACACGTAGAATACAGCCAAACATCTCAAGCACACTCTTCTTTAGGTATTCTAAATGCGACAGCTTTTGACCAAGATTTAAATGCTGGTTAGCTTCATGTGCCATTTGTTTAATATCCATAAGCTATCGTATCCTTGAAACTAGGGAGTTCCCAGGGCGACACTGCTACGGCATAGTTTACATGAACGCTCGAGACTTAGGTGCACGTAGACCGCAAGCCGATTCCTGCAATGGGCAGAAGAAGGCCTACGACTCGGATTAATATCAATGCGTTATAGGACAGAAAAGCCTCCAGGAACTTTCTCGTTCTCCTAAAGCGTGTTGATGACCACAACACACATTTGTTAGTTCAGATTGACAGTACCGTTTCCTGCCTGAACGGATGGTGTGACTCTGACTACCAGTTGCACAGACGCCTTCCTCCCCGAATCACTCCGGTCATACCTTAACCCGGACTTCCCGGCGTCATCACCACATTCTTAAAATACGATTAGTTTGACTTTTATCTTATTTTTACACCACATCCTTTTCGTGTGTCTAACTGCGTTTGACGACACTGTTGCTAGCGCTAAGATTGTCACCGACATCCAACCCAACTCTATCCCTATTACTATCTTTCTTCAAGGGAGATGCCATAGGAATAGCGCCTTAACTACCAGTAAACGTATGGACATCGATACCTAAATTGAACGCGCTGCCGCTTAGCTCAGGAAAGTCTCCGCTACTTCTATCCCTAGCAAATCCGCTTTAGCAGTCAGACAACATGCTAGAGAATTAAGGCTGAGGTTTTGCGAGCCGTAGGGCTGATGAGAAAATGTCCAGATATCTAAAAGCATCAGTTTTGTCCTTTCCAGGGCACCCATCGTCTGGGACACGACAGCAATGTGCCACATAGCATGCCTGATACAAGGTTCCAATATTGGAAAAAAGTACCAACGATAACGTGACATGAAATGGAGCTGCCAATGTGTCCATTCATGCTAATTCTCTCGGCGCAATTTCTTTCTCACTCGCCCTCGCCCCATATTCGAATACCTGCAAGCCATCGGTTAAGAGACTAAGGGTTGCTTATTAACGTTTCTCAATACCATGCGTACTCAACGTGAAAACATTGAGAAGCACAAGACTTATGCCAGGCTGCCCAAAAGTTCTATATTTTGGCGCCCCTAATTCTCCAGCAGCATAGCCCTCGGCTTTGTGTATAAGTCGTATAGTGTTAGATCGCTAGCTAAGTAATTCGAAAGAGCGTCGGATATGCTATAAGAGAAAGCCGTTGATTGTGTAGTCGCCCCATGGCCGGTATACTAATGTATTTCACAAATAGTAGGTTTCATCAATCGAACGAGACCTTTTCACTGGAAGAGGTATAAATTAATAGGAATGCTCATCTCACATACTACTATTGCCACTTATGAAGACGTGCTTCGTCTCAACATGCTGTATAGCCAGGCTCGTCAATCAAGGAAAGTACATACGACCGTAACCATTGGAAAACTCGGGATCCCGTCCGCTCTCCCATAGATAAGCCAATGAGGGTCGGACTACAGCGAATATCTGGTGTTGATTTTTTTTTTTTTTTGTAGACTTTTGCTTTTCGATCTTGGCAAGATTGGTAGGTGACGATACTGGTCTTAGAATTTGGACTGCGGTTATCTTGGGGCCTGCTGTACACTTAGGTAAAGTTGTCACAATGAGACAAAGGACTGTTCGAGTTGATTTTGCGAGTGGGCCCTAACTGGAATATTGGTCGGGTTATAGCAGCGGACTTCAGCTGAGGTCTGAGCTATTACATTGCTACTTGCCTTTGTTAGTGATTGTGAAGGAGGGGCCGCCTCGGCGTTGATGTCGCTGGGGCTATTGTGGCTTGGTTCGTCCGAGTTGATT